TCACATAGTATTACAGTGTGACTTTTCTATATACACTTCAGATGTCTTAGAGAACCTGTTTTATATGCCAAATGGAAAGTTTTCATAACAGCATATCTCTAGTATAAGTTAGAAAAAAAATTAATTAAAAACATTTACAGATCTTCTTATGAAATAAATTTGCCTAGCTCCAGTAGACCTGCCAGGTTACACAAGCTCAGAGTCTAACCCATCATAGGCTGCATGTAGAAGTCTTGTTACCATTAGCATACAACAAATGAGCTCAACATAAATTTGTGAGTTCTAATGATCTGTACAAATTTGCTCAAACTTTGGTTTTACTCTGCATATTCATCACATATCTTTGATTACTAATTCTGAATCTGCATTGAATTTACACTGAATTCTTATAGCACATTTTCAGAGTGGTAACTGAGGGCAGAATCTGGCTTTCAGCTTTAACCTTCAGCATATTATGAATATATACATCAAATAGCAAAGTGGAGTTGGTTTGAATACAGGGCTACAGTATTTGATAAAATCAATTGTGGTTTTGGCTTGCACATGAAATGCATCTGTTTTCTTTTATAAATATTGATTTATTTTTTTTTTCCCCTTTGAACTTTGTTTTATTCCATGCTGTTCATATTCATGCCTCGCTTCGTTCAAAAATGAAGGGCTGCCATCTGTGCCTAATCTGCATTGTGACAGAATTACTTGACTTAAGATGGCACCTGCTTTGGCTTTGGCAAGAACCGACACAAACATAAGTCATACCCCATGATCCTCCCAGAATAAGCTACGCTTGGGCTGTTGTTTTCTTCTGCTTGTTTCTTTTCCTTTCCTTAAGACACCTCGTTTCTGCATGTGTTTCAGTTATGACAAATGGTACCTGTCTCTGGATAGGTTTTGCATGAAAAGTATTTTGTTCAAGACTAAATCCATGAATGTTGGGAGTCGTGTATTACAAATGAGTCATGTCTGCCCCATGTCCTTTACGCTCTTTCATTTACTGGCAGTTTCAGGAATACTGTTACTCAAAAGCTTGAATTAGTATTTAACCTTTTCCAGAAAAGGTAAGACTGGGGAAAGAGCTTGGGAGAAAATGCTGAGGAAATAAATGCTTTTTCATCTAAGAAAACTGGTAGTAAAGAGAAGCTATGTAAACTTGGCTGATTGAAGCATTGTCTGGTGGTTGACATGTTGGATGTGTAATGAGAAAGTTACTTGTCAGCAGTGCCTTTGACTCTGTTTGCCTTTCAGTTTGTGGCCTTTGATTCATCACCTGGAGATGAAGACCATAATGTTTCTACTAACCTTATAAGAATATTAAGAATTTACTTACTATAGAGTGCTTTGAGGGCTATGAAGGCACAGTGCTGATGGTTTTACTTTCTCTTGTCCAATTATCTAAAAGCAGCTGTTATAGATGAGTTCCAGCTTTCCTGCATCCAAATACTCTCTCTCTCAAAAACACAGTACAGTTGGAGTTTTTGCACTGTTGCCACAGAAATGACAAGATATCAGAGTTCAGCATTTAGATTTGAGTATGAACACCAGGAAAGAGAAGAACAGGTCTGTGAGGATCAAAAAAAAAAACCCGAAAGGCCGAAGTGTTCTGTTCTGCCCACTTCCAGACTTCAATATTAATGTTTTACTCAGTTAAATGTATCCCTTTGTTCCTAAAAATGATTTTAAAAGGCTTCATGTTTTTTATGTGTATCTGCGACATAGAAGACCATTTTTAAAAGCATATGGCTAAAGTTTTGCAAAGAATTTGAATAGAGTTTTCTTATTAATTTGGTGGTAGGGCAGGTTTTTGTTCCCAGGAATCTCTTGCTTTTACTTTCTGTGGTAGCAATGTGTTGAGAGTTGAGGCTGGTTCAGCTGGCACTCCCACCAGAAGCAATGCCTGTGGAAGCTTGGCTTTGGATCTGCAGTGTACAGAGATAATGGTGAAGACGATGACCTTTTTCCGCTGGCTAGATTAGATGTCTTAAATGAAGCAAGTGTGCTGATGTAAGTAAACCCAAGAGCTGATTTGTAGGGCTCAGCTGTATTTGAGGTGCGGTTTTCCTTTTGTTAAAGCTAATGCACAAGTCGAGAACTAGAGCTTAACACAGATACTAAACTGGGTAAATATCCGGAGGTTGGGACATCTCAGATCCCTACCAAACAGGAGAAACAAACAAACAAATACTACCTAGTGAAATGTGATGCTGAGGCCGAAGTGTGTTTGCTTTTCTGATCAGAAAAATGAGTGCTGGACAAGAAGGTTCTCCGTCCCAATGGTCTGGCCCTCAGGCCTCCAGTATACTGTCTGCCTCACTGTGTGGCGCCTTTCTGGTGTAGGTAGACAACAGAACCAAGGTTCAACAAGGCCAAGTGTTGGGTCCTGCACTTGGGTCACAACAACCTCATGCAGCACTACAAGCTCGGGGAAGAGTGGCTGGAGAGCTGCCCAGCAGAAAAGGACCTGGGGGTGTTGGTTGACAGCTGGCTGAATATGAGCCAGCAGTGTGCCCAGGTGGCCAAGAAGGCCAACAGCATCCTGGCCTTTATCAGGAGTAGTGTGGCCAGAAGGTCTAGGGAAGTGATTGTCCCACTGTACTCGGCACTGGTGAGGCTCCACCTCAAGTACTGTGTTCAGTTTTGGGCCCCTCACTACAAGAAAGACCTTAAGATTCTGGAGCATGTCTGGAGAAGGGCAATGAAAGTGGCGAGGGGTCTGGAGCACAAGTCTTACGGGGAGCGGCTGAGCCTGGAGAAAAGGAGGCTGAGGGGAGACCTTATTGCTCTCTACAACTACCTGAAAGGAGGTTGTAGCGAGGTGGGGGTTGGTCTCTTCTCCTAAGTAACAGGCAGTAGGACAAGAAGAAATGGCCTCAAGTTGCAGCAGGGGAGGTTTAGGATAGATGTTAGGAAAAATGTCTTCACAGAAAGGCTTATCAAACATTGGAACAGGCTGCCTGGGGAAGCGGTTGAGTCACCATCCCCTGGAGGTATTTAAAAGACGGGTAGACATGGTGCTTAGGGATATGGTTTAGTGGTGGACTTGGCAGTGTTAGGTTAATGGTTGGACTCGATAATCCTAAAGGTCCCTTCTAACCTAGATGAATCTATAATTCTACACATATGTTCTGCTTTATCTGATTGATTTTTAAAAATCTGAATGTTTTTCCAATTTCTGTAGTTGGAAATTTATAAAAGCTTGCAAAATCTTACACTTGCCAAATTTTTTTATTTGTGGAAGGGCGATGCACGTGTCTTTACTAATTACATATCCTTTAGTGGGATTTTGATTGGAGCAAATGTTTTTCTAAAGCAGCAAAGAAGTGGGTAAAAAGTACTTTGCTGAGAAGCAGAGAGCTTCTGCAAATATACATTGATACATCTATTTACCCTTAGTGACCTCCTCTATTTCTTTTCTCACTACTGTTCATCTCGCCTTCTCATCTGCAAAGGCTCTGTTATTTCTGTTGCTTTAGCGTACTGCAGTTAGTTTCTTCCCCATTTTCTTTAATGGAGGAGGGTCCTGAGGAAGTCAGCAAAAAATGGTTTTGTGCTTTCATTGCACACTCAAGTACAAGATGATAGATTTTGACTGGGAAAACAGTTTTGTATAAACAAAAGTTAACTTTTTATATTTATCAAAAATGCTCAGGAAAATTAATACAAATAAATGAGGGGAAAACAGTTTAGATAGATGAGATACTTTGAAAGACTTTTCTATTGTGTAAAATTAACTATGATTTGAGAACTGCTGTCAAGACAGGTTAATTTTGAAGTGTATGACCTGTTAATTGTCTATTGTGTACAAGTCATTCATTGACTTAAACATAGTATAAAATGGTTTCCAATGTGCATATAAGCTTATTTCACATCTAAGAGAGCAGTTCCTTGTATTACGAACGATTACCATGAGGTAGTGTTCAAGAATATGTCAGCTGGTGTAATTCAGTATTCTCTATGGTATTTCATGCTTTTTGTCTCCTAAATCCCTCAGTTTTAAATCTGACAATAGACATTGATTATATAGCTCGCATTGAAAGAGGCTAGGTTAGAAGAGAAGACCGGTTTTAAAGACATAAGTGGTAATGAGAGATTTTTTAGAAAGTGAGTAGGGAGATCAACACAAAGAGATGACACTGAATATTCTGCGAATATGGCACGTAGTTGACATCAGAATGCTTGATATGAAGCACTCTTATGCCAGAATTGCTGCTTCTTGGCTCACCTACAATTTGCCCTAGCAAAAAATATTTACTGAAGCAGACAACTTTTATGTGACGTTGCTATTTTTAAGTTTGACTTGTGCAGCAGTGGCGGCTGTATATGCTCTATGTCACACTGCAGCAGAGAGGAAATATTCAGGCTTACATTGAATTTATCCTGGGCAGAACCACTGACAATGGGAGAATGGCATGCAGTTCCATATTGGTTTTATCCAATGCTAGAATAGTCTTTTCTTTACATAATAATAGTTATATATAGAGATATATATTAATAGATAGAGATATATATTAATAGCTACAGGCACTCTGATAACATTAGTGTCAAAACAGAGAATTGTAGCAAATTTGGATGCTGTAATACACGGTATCTCTCCAGGGGAATATTATTGCAGCTTTAAGGTACTAAAAATTTTTAAGTCAATAAATAGGTTTAACAAGGTCTTTGTCTTCCTTAGTGGATTTTACATAGTAGTTTCTGGTCCCATTTTTTCCTTTTATTTTTTAAAATTTTTCAAGTATAGGTAATTTTTGGAGTATGACAGTGAAGATAACCAAGCCAGATCATAACAAAACAGGTTTTTACCTGGGAAACATTTTAAGGGAAAAGAAAGATAAACTTTGAAGTTTTTCTTTAGGTGTGTTTCTAATCTGAAACATAAGTTTTATAGGAACAGAACTGCAGAACCTCAGTGAAAGAATTCACTGTGGACCTCATTAGTAACATTGTTGGTGTGAAATTTGGACTAATCTGTTGTGATTTCTTTTTTCTTTCTCTTTCTGATCCAGGCTTCCACAATGTTAAGAGCATCTTTAGCCCCTGTGTAAGTATTTGTGGCTGAGCATTTATTTCAGTAGAGAGGAGGAAGAGGGGTTAGTAAACTGAAGTGCATTGCCAGTTGTCTGCAAATGGGAATCACTCATCCTCTGTGTGCTTCCTCTGATCTCAGTGAACATTGTATGCAAATATTGTGATCTGTATTCTTCACTTGGGCAGGTTCAGTAACATCCTAATTTCAGCAGGTTTCATCCAGTAAATCTGCCACTCCACACCTGTGAGTTGGTTGCTGTATTTCCTTTACTGTTTCTGTGTAGTACAGTCTTGTTGTAATTGGTTTGCTTCTCACAAATCCAGGAAAGGGGGGAATCAATAATGTGGGGGTTTTTTGGGTGCTTCAAGTTTAATTTTTTTGTGACTGACTTAATAAAATTGGTTTATAAGATCAAATAGAGATGGTATATTTGAGGTGAAAAGTTTATTAAATTTTTGAGACACTGTTTTGGTCCTTATGTTGTTCACAAGATAATTAAAGGGACAATTATACATATAACATAAAATTTGTCTTGAAAAGTGGTAGGATAGGAAGATAAGAACAAAAATTGTTTAGTGGAATATATTTAAATATTAAAATAAAGTATTGACTGGAAGCAATTTTGTTAGTTGAAAGTAATACTGCCGTGTTAAAACTCAAAATAACAAGACAGTACTGGTGCGTGGAAAGTGATCCTGTATTAAGTCTTATGTTAAGCCAGTGTAGTCCAGCATGTAAAAATCCATTCAGCCTACCACCTTTGTCTTGGAGAAGACATTTCTGTGTGCATGAGGGCTTAGAGGTGAAGTTGGAGCTGCAGTTTGTTACTGTGACAGTTTATAACTGTGTGCTAAGAGCCACAAGCTGCTGCCTTCATGCTCTTGTGGTTCACACAGCGCAGAGAAGGATGTCACTGTACTGTTTTGTGCCAGTAAAAAGCTCAGATCATCAGTTAGCTAGTTGTCAGAGTTTAGTGCTTGCAAGTTATAAGCTGCATGCGTGGTGAAAAAATAAGTTCAAGTTTAAAAAGTTTGTTGTTCTAACATGATAATGATAGTAAAAGTAACAAAGGTGTAAAAATGTGGAAGCTCTTTTCCTGAAGCAGATTTCCTGTTTTGGCTCTTCTCACCTCAGTAACATCAGCTGCACTGAATAAGGAGAGAGAATTTTGATAAATGTCTTTCCCGTTTGCATTGTAGGAAGGTGCAGGATGTGCCATTGTTGCCCTCTTTGGATTATGAGAAACTGAAGAAAGATTTGATTACAGGGAATGATCGTCTCAAGGCATTCTTGCTGCAGGCTCTGCGCTGGGTAAGGGAGACGGCCTCTGCAGGAATAAAGAAATAGTTCCCTTCTGGAGGGGTCCAGAACTAAAAAATCTTGTGAGCAAAACGGTTGTTCTGGTGATCAGTTCTGCATTGTAGGCAACTTCTCTTTGTCAGTGAAGTTTGCTGAGGTTCTTGAGATGATGAAGAAAGACCAGGCAATAGGTGTGTGTTGTAGCAGTACTGTCCTTGTCAGAGGAAAGCCAGATAGGAATTCCTGGGGTCTTCAGTGGCAATAATTTCTGATGTGTTTTCAAGGAAATTGTTGTTTTAGGCTGTTCCTCTTTCCATGTATTGGCCTGGTTTAGATTTATGTAAATATTGCTGTATCAAAGAAATACCTGACTGTAATCACCAGTTTTCCATTATAATCAAGGTATTCTACAAGAGCCTACATTTTGTTTGACTCTGATCATGTAACGATATTTCAGAAAAATTAAAGGTGACAACAGGAAGTTACATTTTCCTGCAGAAAAGGAAGCTGATGGGTTCAGAATGACAGACGTGAAAGATGATAATAGTGGAATTCTGATCAAGCTTCAGTGTCTATTTTCACATAAAAAAACATCCGTTGAACCAGTGGTTCTTCTAGCCCAGTACACTGTCTCAGATGTTTTAGAAGAGCACCACAGCTGTAGCTATTAGAGGGTCTTTTTAACTTTATGGGAAGTAATGCTGTATCCTTCCTCTATGGACAGTGATGACAGCTCCCAAGTAACAGTTTTGTGGTGGATCACTGAGCTGAGGTCTTGAAGCTAGTAGCGTAGGATCTTTCTGACACCGGATTGCTTCTTCCCGTGAGAGAGGTTTCTGAGCTATTGGGTATCCGCACCTTTACAATCTTCACTGGTCGTCAATTCACATTACCATTTACTTATTTGACTGGTTTATTTTTGTTGTTGTTTTTTTTTAGCGCCTGACAACATCGTATCCTGGAGAACAGAGAGACACTGTCCTGCAAGCCTACATCAGTAATGACCTCCTAGACTGCCACAGTAACTGTCAGGTCAGCTGGGAAGAGTTTTCCGCTGACTTGTATGTGATGTTGCTTATTTGTTTCTATAAAGCGGTGATCAGAACAATTTATCACTCGGGAAGGAAAAAAAAAGTAGTAGTGCCAAAATCATGTGATACATTTAACTTCTGCATCCCAGTCTTTAAATGTGATGGGCAGAACTTTGCATTACAAGAGCTCTCAGTGTAGATAAAGTTCTTGTAAACAAGTGGAAGTTTGTTACCTCTCCTGGTGCTTTATGTCCATGAGTTAAGCAGAAGCCTACTGAACCCCTTACTTTGGAGTTAGCTCTTGCTTATCAGATGCTGGCTCTTATTGAGTGATTATGTATTGTTAGACAATACTTTCAGTCCATTTCACTGATTTAGGATAAGAACTAAATTAGGACTTCAGTTTCAATAGCTCTACAAAATATCTGATTATGCACTTGTAATAACATGTTCATCAGTATTTCTGTGAATTTGGAATGGATTGTTGCCTTTCTTTTGAAAGGGGAACTGCTGGTATGTTGATTTTGAAAGGTTGCTTCAGTGACTGATAACCCAACACTACTGCTAACAAAAGTGCAACTTTTTTCATTTGTAATAGCGAATTTTGTGCATTGTTGAGTTACCCAGTTGTTTGTAGCAGTGGGCCTACTTGTTATGTTGTGGCTCCCATTGTCACTGCAACAATAACTTCACTAGAAAAGCTAGCAGGTTGTTAAGTCAATGATCTGTTTTTCTCCCTGTAAATTCCTGCAAGAGGAAAGTTATGTATGAGTAATGCCTGAAGTAAAACAGATTAAAAATAGTTTGCAATGTAATGTTCTTGGTAAGTTACTGAGCTGCTTTCCCACACTCTTCGTAGCCAAACAATAGCATTCCTATTCAGGTAACATTACTGCATTTAAGTTCATCAACAAAACTAACCGATTTTTTTTGTCACTGATTAAATATTAATTTTAGATATCAGCTTTAACTGATAACTGTGTCGGTTCATTATAATTCTCACCCTACACCATGGAGCTTAATGAATTTTTAACAGACTGAGCTGAGGAGCTCTGTTTGCTTATTTGTTCATTTTCCATCTCTCCCTCAGCCCCCTGCCAATAAAAAAAGAAACTGGGAAATTTCAAATCATATTTACATTACTTAAGATAACGATATGCATTCAAAGTTTGCTTGCTGTGAAAATTTAATGAAGCTTTTAAAACATTATAGAAGACTAACTTTGATTTTTCCTGCTTTGGTGAGTTTTTATTAATGTTTGCATTCTTTTTCAGAGAAGTGTCCTCAAATTATTACATTCTAAGAGTGAGGTAGTCAGACAGTATATGGCAAGGCTCATCAATGCTTTTGCTTCACTGGCAGAAGGTAAGAGATTCGCTGCAAAAAAAGACAGTATTTTCATATGATGTTGGCTTATAGGTACTTCACAAGTGCGCGTCTCTGCACGTGGAAATTTAGAGCCTTATTTGCACCCTTTTTCTAGGGATTCACAGTCTTTTGTTACATGCAGTCAAAACAATTTTTCAGTATCTTGAAAGTTTTCATTTTGACACTGTATAATCAGCATTTCTGACTTCTGTTGATGATTTGTGGTCTATGTGGGAACTTACGCAGGTGCTGCCTTTAATATCGTCTTCAGTCTCATCGTGAGGGTTAAAAAAAAAAAAAAAGAAGAAAAATCCCTGTTAATTAAAGGTCCTGTAGGCAGACCTGCTACCAGGTTGTGCAACAGTAGTTAGTGTAGCTGCTTGTGCATGTTCCTGGTCCTCACCTGAATATACCTACGTGCATTACTGCTGTTGGGTTGCATATATATGCAGCTTTGTATCTCTGCCTGTCCCAAATTAGCCCTTGGTTTGGTGCTACTTCAGGAGCTAACTGTTTTAGGAACTGAAATACTTTTTAAAGTCAATAACAGTAGGGTACCTAACTTTACTGAGCTCTTTGGACATCTTTGTTCTTTCCTAGAATGTACAAAACAAGGATAGATCAGAAAGCATGTACTGAAAGAGAAATAGTGGATTCTGGGTGGTATTATCTTGGCAAGTGGGGGCCTCTAATGCCCCAAGTGGTTGGATTGAATGCAACTGGTCTGCTAGACAACTCATTTGTGCAGGTTTGTTTGGGTCTTGGCACAAGATTGTGGCTTGTCAAGAAGAAGCTGAGGTCAATCCTGCTTACTTTCCAAGGAGAGGGAGCTTTTCTATCATAAGCTGATATCTCAGCATCTGTTCTTTCATCACTTTTTGCACCAGGTCGTGTCTACCTTTCTCAGAACCCAACGTTGCTGCGAATGCTGGAGGAGAGACTGAAAGCTGAAGACAAGGATTCCCTTACATGGGAGAATGTTCTGGGGGCTCTGCAGAAATTCAGCCTCAGGTGATGAAAGCACAGCACGCAGTGGTGACAGCAGGAGAGGAAATGCAGGCTAGTTAGGCTCCGTTCAGGGAGGAAAGAAGAGCACTTGATTTTCCCATAACAATCATCAGAACTTCTGGTGACTGATGAAAGCAGTGCCATTTATTATAGAGGAGAACTCAGTTTTGCTGACTGAATTAACCTGACTTCCTACCAGCTGTCAAGACTCAAGTAAATGTACATCTGCCTTGTGTGCTTTATATGTATTCCCTAATTGAACAAAGTGAAAATCTTAATGTAGAAAGTTCTGAAGATCCTACATAGAAAAAAAGAGTTGCATTACATTCCAGAGCATGAGGTTTTCATTATCCTTTCTGCAAACATTTTTCAGGGATTTCATCCTCATCCTGTTGATCCTCTTTCCTGGAGCTGTCTATGCATAGGCTGTCTTATTTCTTACTTTTGCGTGTCTGACAGAGTCTGACTCAAATGCCCACCACAAAAGAAGTATGCAAAAGCAGTAAAGGGCATGAAGTTGCTCTTATTTATCAAATAAATATGATCTAGGAACTCTGTTTTCACAGTACTCAGGAGGAATATTCAGCCTGAATAGTTAACTAAATGTAAGAAAGGTAGATGGATACGTTTAGCTCTTGTTATTTTCATTCAGGTTTCTTCTAAATTAAGACTGCAAGTGTTGGTTTTATTATTATTATTATTATTATTATAGTTTGGGGGCTTGTTGAAGAATGAGGTCTGCTTTTGGATTTGCCTCGTTTAGAACTTTTCTGGATGAAGCACACATAAATGTGTTTTGGGTAAAATTCTGCGCTGCTTCCCGACATGATACCTTATACATATTTGAGATGAAAGAGTATAAATCTTCATACTCTACTGCTTGAAATCCTAAACCAATCTTAGAGAATATGATTTTTCTATTAAAGCAGTTGTTAATAGTACATGTCAGTTTGAATTTTGAGACCTAAGCTACTGAAAATTTGGAAGTTTTTTACTTTCTGAAAAATAACAGATAATCTTATAGAAAGTTAATTCTTGGCATGCAGGACTGAGGGGGTTTTTGGTTTTTATTTAAATATGTGGTCAGGTGCTCCCTTGTTTTCCTCAATCTGTGCCATAGACCCTACTGTAAGATCCAGGACTGAGAAACTGTATGAGCTTTCAGGAGTAATCCAAATCCCAAGTACTAAGACCAGGAAAATACCTGCTTTGATCTTTGTAATTTAGACTTACTGCCCATTAGAAATAATATGATTAAAAATAGTGTTCTTCTGTAAGACCTTTCTACTAGTATATACTACTTTTTTGTATTGTAAAGCAAGGAATCTCTGTTGCAGGAGATCACAGTTGACTGCCTGGCACTTTATTCTGTATATGCTTTCAAGGCAACTACAGGTTGAGTTAATAGATGATTTAAGAATCTCTAGAGAAAAGAGCAAATAGATTTAAGCAAAAAAAATCTCATTTGTCAAATCAACAGTACAAAGTGCTATGGTTACCTATGGCAGAAGAGGTAATTAATTTATTTTATGGGTCTGTTGTGTGTAGCTGCCTATTCTTTACCGTTTTAAGACAATTGAAAATGCAATTTCAGGTAGAGTTAGAAGCCTTAGAAAGCAATGAAGAAACTTACCTCAGCAGTTTGGAGGTTTAAAAAAAAAAAAAAAACAAAACAAAACACAAAAAAACCCCAGCCCACCCAACAACATTTTAGTCCTCTAACCCTGCAGGAATCTGCATCTTCAATTTCTTCAGGCTTTGTTAATTCCTTAATTTAATTCATTCTGCCAAAATGGGTAGTTTGGGTTTGTGGGGTTTTTTTTGTTGGCAGGCTAGTGTATAGCAGGTGGGTGACATAGGGTTTTAATGTGCTTATATCATAGAATCATAGAATGGTTTAGGTTGGAAGGGACCTTGAAGATTATCCGGTCCCACCCCCCCTGCCATGGGCAGGGACACCTCCCACCAGACCAGGTTGCCCAAGGCCATGTCCAGCCTGGCCTTGAACGCCTCCAGGGATGGGGCCTCAACAACCTCTCTGGGCAACCTGGGCCAGTGCCTTACCACCCTCAAAGTGAAAAATTTCTTCCTAATGTTTGGTCTAAACCTTCAATGTGCTTATATCATAGAATCATAGAATGGTTTAGGTTGGAAGGGACCTTGAAGATTATCCGGTTCCAACCCCCCTGCCATGGGCAGGGACACCTCCCACCAGACCAGGTTGCCCAAGGCCATGTCCAGCCTGGCCTTGAACGCCTCCAGGGATGGGGCCTCAACAACCTCTCTGGGCAACCTGGGCCAGTGCCTTACCACCCTCAAAGTGAAAAATTTCTTCCTAATGTTTGGTCTAAACCTTCCCTCTTCCAGTTTAAAGCCATTCCCCCTCGTCCTGTCACTACATGCCCTAGCAAAAAGTCCTTCCCCAGCTCTCCTGTAGGCCCCCTTTAGGTACTGGAAGGCCGCAATGAGATCTCCCCGGAGCCTTCTCTTCTCCAGGCTGAACAGCCCCAACTCTCTCAGCCTCTCCTCATAGGAGAGGTGATTAGCTATAAATGTATTTGAAAGCTATTTATGTTGTGGTCTTATTTTTGTGGGCTTTTTGTTTTTTTAATCCTAGGCGTGCACTGCAGTCGGCAATGATCAAAGATGGGCTCATTTTCTGGCTGGTTGATGTTCTAACAGATACGGATTGCCTGTCTGATTACACACTGGAGTATTCTGTTGCCTTGCTCATGAACCTCTGTCTGCGGAGTGCAGGTGTCTTACATTTTTGAATTACAACCTTATTCCAAGAAATGGATGGGGAAGATCGTGAATCCTTTTTTCTGATATACCTGGATTCTTTCAAGTGGCTATAATTAGTAGCAGGGACTCGCATGATCAGAGATATTTGAGTGTTATAAGCAATGCTTTTGAGCAGATCTCTTTCCCAAGAATCCCAAACTGTGAAGGTTAGCTTCGCCAAAATCTAAAGAATTAAGCAGTTAATAAATTGAACCCTCTAAGATTTGATTCTTTTTTCATATCTGCATGTGAGGACTGCTGTACTTACATTCCAGGCCCACTTTTCAAAGGACACTTTATACTCATGTAAGAGATTTGTTTGTATAAAAGAAAGTCAGAACCGAGTTGATGAGTAATGGTAAGGAGCTTAACCTTCACCTTGTGGAGGGAAATACTTGCATGCTTCACTTCTACAATGCAGAGATTCCCCCCTGGAAAATAGGGTCCTGTCTATGTTCAAGAGACTTAAAGGAAGCTTAAAATAAGTTTCCTTTTAGAAAGGATAGTAAGGTAAAGGTGAAAAATTGACTGCTTGCCATAAGCAAAATAATGCCTTTGTTAAACGTTTAAAAATTCCTTTGTGTTGCACCCTGTCCAAGGTTACAACTGTATAAACGCAGAGTAACTCCGTTGATTTCAGCTCAGTTATGCAGAGCAGCATTTGGCAGGAACAAGGCCTAGTCTTGATCTGTGTCAATTATATTTAGTACTGATTTTAAGGAGTAAGATGCTTGCTCTGATCTCTTATATTTTTTTAAGCATATTTGTTTTCTTCCTTTGCAGGGAAGAAAATGTGTGCAAGGATTGCAAACCACGTGCTCAAGGTTCTCTCTGATCTTCTTGGCCATGAGAATCACGAGGTATTTGTACAGCAAACTTTGGGCTAAGAAAAAGGTAGAAAGAAAAATTAAAGATAAAAAAAGCAAGAAAGGAAGAAATGGAAAAAAGTAAATTGGTTTTGTTTCCCTTGTTAGATCCTCATGTAATTAAGTTGTGTGAAATTTTCCTAAAATTCAGGATCATGTAAGTTTTCTTTCATTGGGTGCTTATCTTTCTAGACATAATTATATCTTCCTTTAACAAATGTTGGCAGCTAAGAATGAAAGTCTTTTAGATGCATAGTTATCATGCAATCCACGTGCCTTCTTGATTGCAGTTTCAGATGCTGTTTAAATGTCACCTCACACCAAATCATCTCAAGCTTAACTAGTTCATGAGATGAACAATGTGTGGTGCAAGCCCATTATGCAAAACATCAGGTGCAAAGAAACAAATTTACTAGTATTTTTAAGGAATATTTTAGGAAAGCAGTACATCTGTGACATTCAAGCCCTAATATCTTTTTATCTACCACTTCATTTAACCTGCTACTTAACCCTTTTGTAGTTTGTTTCTTTTCTGTCTCCAGACATTTGCATCTTGAATGCTAAATTAAACTACCTCAGAGGAGAATGCTAAACCTGATTGCTTATTTCTACCTAATGCTTTTCAGCATGTTGCTCTGATATCTGCTGTCCACTATATAAAGCGTTGCTTCAGCTGTCTCTGCAGAGGGGCACTTCTTTATCAGTGGAGTAAAATTCAAGGCAGGAGAAAACGTGGGCAAATATTGTATGAAGTTGAAATCATAGAGAGGCAGAATTTTTACCAGGGGATTCTAGAATTATTCTCTTATGTTTATATGCAATGATTGTGTCATCAGTTTTTTCTTTACAACTTAAACTGAAAACAGACAATAAATTTCAACGAAGTGTTTAGTCCACGTTTATGAATTCATTAGAAGATGTAGATCAGTTCTTTACTAGCACTATTTTGATTAAGATGAAACTTGGCATACCTTTATTGGACTCTTTCACTAGCTTTTCTTTTTGTGAATGATGAGATTTAATACAATAATACAAAATAACATCCCAGTCCTTAGACTGAAGTATTTAGAAATACTATCATACTGTTGAATTCTGTGCCTTAGAATGACCTTGAAATTTCTCTCAGAGGGTGTATTCTTACAGCCTAGTTGGCACTAGTGCAGCTGACAGAAGTTTTGTTATCAAAGTCAAAGGTAGAAGGCAATGCTCTTGGGTGGCAGGAGAGTTTTCTGCGACGCTGTGGAATCCTTGTGTAAATCCCAGTCCCTTACCTTTGCTTGCTTCCCCTGCTCCCAGCCTAGCTCATTGTTCATTTTTCCAAGGCTATAGACAGAGGTTGACGGGGAATCTTAGTGCTCCAAAAGGAACTGGCCAATACCAAAGGTCACATAAGTGCTGATAAAACTAGTTTGACAGATGTGGTGGCTTTCACTAACCATAAAACAGAGCTTTCACACTAGCTGGTTTTTTGCCTCTACTGAGGGACAGCAACGGGCAGCAGAGTGAAAGGATGTTTTAAGCTGCTGCAGCTTTTATCATCCTGCCTAAGGCTACAGTGCTTGAAGCCTCTCCTGAGTTCACGCTGACACAGTCGTGTCCCTGTTCTTTGTCCTATTTTTTGTACTGCCACTAGTGTGTGTCAGAAACTAACCTTCTTTTTCTGCTCCCCCCCCCCCCCCTTTTTTTTTTATTGGGCTAGGTCAGTTTGCAATAATGTATTTTCAGAAGGGGTGGGGAGGAAATCAGCATGCAGCAGTACTGATTTAGATCAACCATATCCCAGTATATTTGCATTCTAAAAGTTCGCTGCTTCCTAAGTGGGAATTTTTGCAAGTGCAGGCTGGTCTGATTAAACTCTCTGAACATAGTTGTTCTGCACCTTCACTCTTAAATTTTGCTCATAATTAACTGGGGTGAATGTAAGAGCTTTTCTTGGTGGTATGACTATTTCTTCCTCTTAGATACAACCATATGTGAATGGAGCACTGTATAGCATTCTCACCATCCCTTCTGTCCGAGAAGAAGCCAGAGCAATGGTAAGAAGTGCTGCTTTGCATAGGACAGAGATCCACACATATACCAAAGGTGGCGTGCACACAGGTACCTGTTAAGCAGTGTGCAGCAAGGTTGTGAGGTAGGAGCCATGGCATTGTGAGAAGGGAATCCACAAGTGGCCCTCCACCTTTGATATTCAGGCAGATACGAATGTATGTCTCAAACACTTTTGCCATGTTTGCTGGTCTTTCCCCAGAAATATAGCCCCAGCAGTGTGAAGGATTCTGTCTAAACTATAAATTGAAGGTGTTATTTTAGAATACTGTTGTCCATCTAGGATTTCATAGACTGGATGTGGCCCAGGAGATGGTTTCGTCTGACCTGCTACTTATTCCCCTTATTTAACTCATTCTGCACCAGTGAATATCCACTAAGAGGATGCGTTCCGCTTTCTGCTTTTGTTTCTGCCCGGTATAGACATGGTTAGCTGGGGAAGGCAGCAGGAGGAAGGTTTTAGCAGAACTACAAATTGATTTCCTGTGAAAGTTAGTCTAATAGTAATGAATGTGGTTTAATTTCTGGATTTGAGGAAGCCGTTCCTGGGAGAGCAGAGTATCTTTGTATCTTAAGAACTAACCTAGAGAGTTATGCAGACATAATTGTTGTCAGATGTTTTACCTCACAGAGCACAGAGGATTGGAAGTCATCTTAAGTGACTGAAGACACAACATCAAGCCTATAAAGGACCACAAAGAGTGAAACTGGGTTTAAGAGAAGGTCAAAGTTGGTCCTGCTTGTACTGTTGTCTCTGTGAATGCAAATTTTCCCTTTTCTGTTTACTACTGCATACTGAGGTCAGAAGGCAGAAGCAGCAGATCTATTGTAAAAATTTGCCGTTTGTCATAGATACGTCTATACTAAACCTAGAAGCAATCTAGGCAGCACATTTCTTTTGCCTTTTGAAAGTGTATGGACAAAATGGAGTGCTTAGAGCTGGACATAGTGGTTTGTTTCACACTGCCTCTGTTTTTCCTGACAAAACAATGACATTTCGGCTAACAAAACTCTGTCACTGTGGTCACATGAAATACTAATCTAGCAATGTTTTCCACTACATCCAGGGAATGGAAGAAATCCTGCGCTGCTTTATCAAGGAAGGAAATGCAGAGATGATCCGACAGATTGAATTTATTATCAAGCAGCTCAATTCAGGTCAGAAGAACAGATGCAGCTATCTGAGCTGTAAATCTTTCACAAAAGCTGTATGAAAGCTCATGTTTTTACTTGGCGTTGAAACTCTCAAAGAATAACTATAGTGTGATGGTCTGAGAGAGGGTGAATAGTGAATGTCAGGATTTGAATGTCAGATGTATTTTAAAATTCCCTTTTGTGTTATGATTATAAAGAAGAAACAAAAGGCTGAGTAGGTATCAATCCCAAAGTTTTGGGACTGTAAATAGAATGACCTTGACTGTTTTCTTTCATGCTGGTGGCCTCACAGTTATGAGAGACTTCTGTCAATTGAAAAATAAACAGGTGATGCAATTTGTAAAGCAGGATTTAGGGACTAGGTCTGTCTCTGCCCGTCTCTTGTTCTATTAAGGAGCGTAGGTTCGTTATCTGAAATGGCTTATCCTGAATATGAGGCAGAGACCATCCTTTTTGGAGAGTATGTTGATGGGTCCCAGGAGTTGTAGATGCTGTGTTAATACAGACAATTGTGAGGAGGTAGAACATTACTGTATTTTCTGTTCCTGTGGCTCAAAGGAAGGCTGAAGAAAGAGAAAGCAAATACTGAAAAGGAGATGAACTGTGGTTTAATCTTCCTGTACAGTAAAAATGGAACAAGTTTGACTGCTTTTTTTGGCTTTTTGAAAGAGCAGAAGACAGCATTATCTTATGGTCCTGGTTTGTAAAAGAACAAATAAAGTTTTTAAGCCCTGTATTGCCACTCTGCAATACTTGTTCATCAAGGTTATAGAATCGCTTCTCTTCTACCTATGAGTGGTATCTTTAAAAGGTTTTGTCCAATTGGTGAGTAAAAGTTGAGCGTACAGATTTCCAGTGTGTACAGATTTCCAGTGTAAGCCTGGCTGCTTTTTTCTAAGGAAATGAGTTTGTCCAAAAGTTACGATAAGTATTCTACATGAGGACTATCTTTTTACATATAAAAGCAGTGTAATATTGAAGTGTTGATAGGGAGAAGTAGAGTCTTTTATTAAAAAGAGTCTTTTATTAAAAATTAGTTGAAAAATGTACAAACTTGCAAGTGCACACGCTTTCATTCAAATCTTGTCAGTAAAAACACTGAGACATCATAGTGGGATTTATCAGAAAAGAACTATTCTAGAGTGTTTCTGTTTCTGCCATTTTCCCAAATATGAATTGATTTTGGTGATTTCTAGAATGCTTTATAGGAGCAAATAATTCCAATAGTTGTTCTGAAAAGAATAGGATGTCACATGAGAAGCAAGCTAAATCTTATTATTGTAAAAGAGGGGCAATAACTAGAGGCTCTGTTAGGTTGCACATGTACTCTTACACCATTTCATTTTGCTTCTTTCTAGAAGAGCCATTAAATGACAGTATTGTGTCTGATGATGAAGAGGAAGAGGAGGATGAGGAAGTAAGTTTAAAGGCCTTCTGGCACCTTTTAGAAAAATCCTTAATATTCTACACAGAAAACATTTGTGTCAGTAAGCCAGACTTCGGGGTTTTGGTTTGGGTTGGGTTTTTTAACTTTTATTTAATTACCAAGGTCTATTAACAAGAAAATTGGATCTTTTTCCATTACCTTATGTTTGAAGTCCTGCTCTGTTATTTTGACAAGTGACCACCTCTGTGGTAGCTTAAAGCAAGTAAAGAGATGAGGAGTTACTGTGGCTGTAGAAATCTTGCTTTCAAGCAGACCCGTTTCACCAGTTAAAAGTAAAGGAACCGAATGAACCAGTATATTGCTAGAATAGTTTATAAACAGGTTGTTACTTTTTCTTAAGGTATCATGATCTGTTCAGGGTATGACTTCTTTTTTTTTCTGTTTAAAAACAAGTCCCATAAAAAAGGAAAAAAAAAAAGGGAAAGTTAGCACAAGAAACTATGTCATAGTAAATATAAATTGGTTAGCTGTGTATTTCTAGCTCTGCTAATAAATGTATTTTATACCAATACTTCAGCATTTTTTAAGAAGCTGTCTGCATAGAATAATGGATTCCAGGTGTAGACGACACAGCATATTTGATCATCTAAATTAATAAGCAAAGCAAGGTGTATAAATGGTGAGAGGGAAGTGTTAAATCTGGTCTTCACTGGGTGACCGAGTGCATTTTCAAGCGTACGTTGAGCCTTTTATTATTTGAAAGCAGTGAAAAATGTCTGTCCCGGCTGTAACAGGTGTGGTGTGCTCTCAGCTGCCGTGGTGCAGCACCTTGCAGGATCCAGCCTTTCCCTGGCAGCATCCAGGGAAGTTTTGCACTGGTTGCTTTATTTAGCTAGTTTCTGTGTTGTGGCACAATAGGTGGTGAACACGTGAACTGATTACCCTTGTGACTTTGCCTAAACTTAGAGCTGTGTGGAAATTCTAACTTTAGAGCTACAAGGAAGTTTTATTTAACAATCGGCTCTACACCTTTTGTTTTAAAGGGTACAGTAAACTGTTTTTTTTTTTTTCTAATAGGATTAGATTATTGTAATTGTTTCACCTCCTGCAGTCCTGAAGTGAGTTTTAAATAATTTTCCACTTCTCCCACCCAAAATCAATGATTGATGTGCAAGATGGGCTCTCTGAGGATTAATCATTATAACTTCCCTTTCCTTAATATCCTGCTTAACACCCTTTAACTGATGTTCCAAAGCTTTGAGCGTCTTAGGTGTATTGTGAGAATCCAAGCCGGTGATATTTTTGCTTGAACTCTAGTATACTTTTTTGAAGGATGCTGTGTTCTGTTGGGAAAGCATAGGGATAAGGAACTCCTTCATGAAAGATGTGGCACTGAATTGCATGATAGTGTTGAACACTTTCATTACTTTAGCTGCTCTTGGGAATAAAAGGAACATGAATTCTCCTATTCAGTCATACCTCCTAGACGAGTGGCTGCTGCTCACAACCCCAGCCGAGGTTCTAGGTCAAACAATTTTGAAATGCATTTTTATCACTCAACCATCATGTGATTAAAATGGACTTCTGTCACTTTTTATTATTTGATTCAAAAATAGCAGTAGGCTTTTGAAACAGAGAAGTGTCCGATTACAGTTTTTCATTAGCTTTGCCATTATATTAGAAAGAAGAAGTCTCATTATACCAATTTTAAAACAGTGTCTAGTGGCATGTTCTAAATCCTTATTGCTTCTGGGAACTATACTTCTGTTCTGCTGCAAGGAGGGCCGGTTTCTTACTCCCTCAGTTTAGAAAATATAGTATACGAACAGCACGGCAGCAAAATCCTGTGCAAAATGCAGAATGTTGTTACTTTGTTAAATAAGCAACGATTTGTTGACTCACTGCCTCAATGCTTGGAGCCCTTTTGTATTTTGGAAATGCAGTGAGTTATTGTTCTTTGGGGTTCTGTGATAACATCTGGTGTTGTGATCTGGCAACACAAAGTTTTGGAAAACTTTATCAGAAGTCTTGCCTTTATGTAACTCTTAAAAACTACTACAGACTGAATGTATATCAGAATATGTCAATATATTGACAATTTAATGACGCGCATTTGAACTGCTTACTGATATTATAATTTGTTGCTGATCTACTTAATATCAATATTTATACCTTCACAACTTAAGAAACAACAAAAAGATTCTTCTATACAGACTTAGTTTGCAGGTTTTGCCCCAGCTTTTATTGTTTCCAAGAACATGCAAAGGTTCCTCATGCTGTTACTATTACTTGTCATGGTTTTTTGCTTTTATCTGTGTTTAATTTAAGTTGTTGATTTGTTTAATTTGTTGTTTAATTTAAGTTGTATTGGCTTTGAGCAGATCTTGTGGTAATGACTGCTTTCTCCTAAACACTACCACCAAGGTGTGGTTTAGCCAGTTGGAGGATAAATCTGGGATTTCTAAGGGCATCATACACTCAGAAATTTAAGATTCTGTAATGTGTGACATTGACGCATATAAACTGAATTTAAAAATGTCTATGTTACGCCTGTACTGTTATTCAGAAATGAATTGGCTTTTGGGTGACGTGATTGTCATCCTGGGAGCTTGATACGGTTTTGTATATATTTCAGTATTTCCTTTTCATTTTATTATTAATATTTCATTAAAGTATTTTAGCTCCTTCTAAACTCCTAAGTCTCTTTTTCTCTCCTCTGCCTTTCTCATGGAAGAGGGGTAGGGGGGAGCATCTGTTGGTCCCATCTGGGGTGCCCCACATCCCCAGTAACTGTTTCGGCCTAAACCACGACAGCCTGCTCCGCTTTAAATTAACTAGCGTAGAGCTCAGGATGCACTGGCTTGTGGAGTACATACCCACCTTTGTTATGTTAGCTATCTGGGGTGTGTCGACACCCACAGTCACAGTTCGTGTTTTCTTGTGCTTCATATTCTCTTGACTGTTCTTTTAAATACTAACTTAATTTATCTTTAGTATTTGATCTTTACCTTTGCTTTTTATTTGACTTGAACCATCTATAAAAGCTGCTTTTAAAAGAGAATATATGATATTGTAGCTCTAATTCAAAAGTTTAGTTACAAACTTGAGCTACATTAGGTAACTGTACAGTCACCATTTATCAGAGACCCTCTGATCTCCCACTACTCATCACCTGGCAATAAAGTCAGTAAACTGCAGTGTGAAAGTACAATTCAGCTAGAGAATCCATCAAAAGAGAGAGAGCTTAATCACAGACCTAATTGCAGGACATTGAGCCACTATATTAAAGGACTTTGGTGCCAACATCATCTGCTGCTTGTGAGCAATGGTAAACAGGGCACCAATTGTGTTATTTTAGTGGTGGAATGATGGCACATTTGTCAAAGCTCTTTTTCTGTGTAAGGAGACAGAGGAGGGACACGTTCAGGCTCAGTTACGTGGTATGTTGAATACCATCAGGGAGCAAGGCTGGCAGGAAGAGGTACTTCCCAGAAACGAAAAACTAGAGCTCTCTGTGTGACAAAAAGTGTCAAACAGAATATTGGAAGAGGTGGAACCTGGAGGAACCAAGGTGATCTGTGAGGAGGAGTTAAATACATCATGCATGCAGAGAGCTGGAAGAAAGAGCAGGATGATGTTCTAACTCCAACGCGTAACGCTCTACCCAGGCAGAGTATAGGCAGCCTTCTGTAAAGCACCCTTGAAGAAAACTGTTAGCTTTTGATGCTGCATTAACATACCATATAAAAAAAAAATCCCACCAGACTATTTATAAAGCTCATCTTTGAAACTTTTTTTTTCCCCCCGAAGCACAGTATATTGTGGACTTTGGAGTATGGGGTTTTCTTTTGTTTGTTTGTTTTGCTTGATACAGATGATTGTTGCCTTGCCTACAAGGGTTTATCTGTGTTTTTCCATTATCTTGGGTTATTTTTCACACCTACCCAGCTTCCCAGATAATTGGGAGCTGATTGTAACTTGCCTTGGAGAGAAAGGCAGATTGAACACCTATCTGAGGTCCTATACAGCCTTATCTTTTATGGCTGAGAGTCTAGAGAACGCATCTTTAGGAGGATGAAGAGGATTAACAATCTGGTATCTTCAAAACACTTACGGAAGAACTAGGGGTTTTTTTATTAAATCCATGCATAAACAAATAAATTGTGGAAAAATTTTACTCTGAACCTTAGAACACTGGGTGGATTATTGGCAGTGTTTCTGTAACTGCTTCAGTTGTTTACACACAGGCATCTAATGTCTCTTAAGATTAACTACAGCATCGGAAGCACCTCCACAAGGCTGTCAGATCATTTTGGACCTGTGGGAGGCTTGTGCCCTTTCAGAGCAGCAGTAGAAGACTAGGCAGGATATTTCAAAGCAGAACTGGATGCTGCTGTGGGCTACAGAATTGAGGCCTTTGTGTCTGTGGTTTTTGTCTCTGCTTGATGCCTGTGAATGAGGAGGTGATGAGTAATGAGAATAATTAAATCAAAACAAAAATTATGTTTTTAAGCCATTTGGTACAGAGGTCATGAAACTTGAAAAAAGGCAAGCCTGTAGAACTCTGGGGAAGCCAATGTCTACTTGGTCTGAGTGATGGTAGTCTTGTTACTTTGCACCAGACAAAGACTGAAATCAGTTGGCCGTTTCCATTGTAGGAAATACCTTCTCTGTACACACTTCCAATGTTTTTTTTCCTCATGCTGTTTTTGTAGAGCACTGTCCAAGGATCCATATTGTTGGCTAATCTTTGTGGCAGAGGGTATTTCTTACTTTGGCTATTTAAAACTATTCGAGTCTAAATCTCACTAAAGTGCAACTGCTTTTCATTTCTTTGTGCTCCAGGGCTCATCGAAGTTTGGTGGCCATTGTTTTTAATGGAGTTTATGCCAGGCTCTCTACATGACTATTACAATATACCTTATTAGAATGATTAATTTACTTTTTCTGACAGTCATTACATTTTCTGTCACAACCTGTTTCCAAAGCAAAGCACATTTTCTTCATCTAGGGTAGGTCTTATTTAGGGTATCTTATGCAGCACAGAAAAGAATTCTTTTCAGTAGCAAAACACAACCAAAATACCATCTTGTTCTTGTATTACTACTTTTGGTTTGCTGGAGGGGTCCTTCAAACTTTAAAATTTCCTGGCTTGTAGATCTGTAGAAGCTGCAGAACTTCCATGAGAGATTAATCACCCATGGTTATACTAGAAATAGGCACAGGAGAGTGAATTCTTAATACTTTTCGCTCGAGAAGTTGAGTACATTTGGGTTCAGTGGAATGAAGTCAACAAAGTATTATTGCCTCTTGTATGATATTTGTACCCTAAAGTACCAATTCCAAGAATCTCGTACCAGCCCCATATTGTCAGCTTTAAAGCTTACTTGCAAACCTGAGTAGCTGCTATTGCTGCTGCTTCACGTTGCTCTAAAAACAGCTGCTGTTGGATACCTGTGGT